CGTGCGCGTGCGCGTGCGTGTGTGTGTGTGTTACAGAAAATACTTTTATCTCATCACTAGATATTCGAAAATATTTAAATATTTCAGAGTTTTCTCATTTTATTTCATAAATAAAAGTTTAATAACATGCTATTTAAATAATATAGCTAGTTATTTAAAAAAAATACATTAAAAGAAAAATTTCAAGTCTTTTTTGCAATATTATATTATTCATTTGGCGTGAAGAATTATTTTTTGATATAACTGGAATGATCTGTTTCTGAATAACAATTATGTGATTCATATTGATTCTTTTTATTTTAAAGTTACATTAAAATCAATCTACATTTTCCCTATTTTGGAACTTTCATCTTGAAGAGATATTTGTAGTTAATCTCTCCTCCTCAAATCCTTTGACTCCTTTGCATCTTTATCAGAAGCGTAGTGATCCCTTATTGTATTTCTGTGGTGTGTACTATTTGCGATTTACATAGATATACGGGACCTCCCTACAGTTTTAACGCCGGTTTTTAATGGCCTAATTTAGAGGGGTTTTCATGGCACTCTCGGTGGATTGCCGCTTTCTTTCAAGAGATAACGATGGAATAAAAATTTCCGTTATTTGTAGTCGGATCTTTGGCTCTTTGGATCTTTGGCTTGGGTCAAAAGCAAACGTACAACTCTGCGCCACGATCGCTATGATCGTAGATAATATTCATTCTTAAGATCGTCTTAAGTAATATTTTAAGATGCTAATGTACATAATAGTACATAATAATATTAATAAATATATTTTATGTATTAGCACTGGACAAAATATTTCTGTTTAAGTATAATAATTGTGACACCAAAACTGTCAACAAAATTTTTTAAATTATTATTATTTTAAAATATATAATTTTTATATTTTTGTTATAAAAAGTATTAAATACAAATTGTGTAAAAAAAGTAATTTTTTTGCATTTGTTATTTTTAAAATATTTTTATAAAGTACATACTTTTATCATAGACCATTACATCCACAAGTGCTCCAAGTGAAATATGATAAACATGAGTACATGTGCACGGTTTTGTGCATGTAGATGGCGTGTAACGATCTCCGCACATAAAGTCATATCCATCATATTGTGAAATAAGAGGTCCTGGTGGATTTTGATATGAAATGTTGGTAACCAAGCTATCTAAATGAGATCCAGTTGGAGAAACTAAAAAACAGAAAATTTTTATAATAATAATAAAAACCTAACAAAATTGCCAGAATTAAAAATACAATAGGTAAGAATTAAAAATACAATAAGTAAGGTAGATGGAAATCGGTACAATTATTGGTACGCAATATTTCATTTATATAAAATCCTTTAACAATCAAACGTCTCTGTTATTTAGCCTTCCACAGTGACGATTAACGTGTACAATTGCTACGATATCAGTTTTATTTATTCTTTTTAATTTTAATTTTGACCAAGTTTTATACATTATTATTTTTATTATTATTTATTTTTATTATTTATTTATTACTGTTATTTATTAATTTTACTGGTGCTAATATGCGAACTGTGCGTTTTATTACGTTCGAGGACATACAGTTAGATCATGTAGTCAACTGCATGGACAGTTATTGGACTGATAACCGCTCCCTCACTCATTAAACGTGTAAGAATGCACATATTAAGAAAATAAGAGCGATGAGTTGAATGTCATTGTTATTAGTCGTCACTGAGGATGTCTAAAACGATAGCCGAAATGTTTGACTGTTAGAATAAAGGAGATTTTATGAATAAAATATTGCGCACCAATAACGGCGCCGAATCCCATCTGCCTTACTTACATATTGTAATTTTCATTATAATGTACATTAAAATAAATTTAAATATTATTTGAGTTAGATGACAATCTTATTTTATGTTTTGATAAAATATTTTAATATTATTAATACGATAGTAAGTATTGCTTAAATGCTAATGTTTAGATGTTTCCATTCATAACATTCAAATTTTAAAAATAGCTATAAAAAAATAAAGTAATAGAACCCATACAGCATAGTACGTTAAAAGAACGTTGTTGAGACGAAATCTAGGTCATTTTGGTTATCTATTATGTTATTGTATGTAAAGATTCATAAAAAGATATGTATATTTTCATTTTTTTGGTAATTTTATTAATCTGATCTATCACAAATATATATATATATATATATATATTAAAAAGGCTATCTCCGCCTGCCCACTTGAATTTTTGAGAGTATAAAATATATCAAAAGGTCTTAAAATTTTCATTAAAGTACTATTCATTGAAGACTACGTTCATTGAAGACTAATTTTTGATGCCGTTATGGTCTTTTTAAAAACTCAAGATAGCGGATCCAGAAATGCGACTAAAATAAAAAGTTATTGAAAAAATCTCTCTCTCTCTCTCTCTCTGTGCGCGTGTGCGTGTGCGTGTGCGTGTGCGTGTGCGTGTGTGTGTGTGTGTGTGTGTGTGTGTGTGTGTGTAAGAAAGATCTAAGTATATGCAAGAAAAAATTAAACTCTTGCTGCCGTGTCGCCGCACTTCTCCTCTCTGTCCGTATTACACTCTCAAAGTATGTAGCAGAGCCTAAAAGGAAGCTTTAATTACAGTCCTAGACGCCTCGGCCAATCTTGATTGGTTATGACCATTACAGTTCCAAATGTGCTATGTCCAAAAATTAGACCATTACAATTAACTTGTTATTTTTTGCGTTTATTTCTTTGATTTGAATATTCACAACTTAGCACATGCAAACATTAGTTTATAATGTTACAGTTATTATATCATTGCTCCTTATACAGTGACATTTAATTGTTTTAAAAAATTCAGATTTAAATATTATTTCCTTATATTTACTTGATTTATTTAAGTTACGCAAATTGTAAATATTCAAATACGATAAATAAACGCAAAAAACAAGTTGATTTTTAAAGTCTAATTTCTGGACATGGGACATTTTGGACAATTGTAATGTCAAGATTGGGCGAGGTGCCTAGGATTGTAAACAAAGCTTCCTCGATTTTAGACACTACTACAAACTTCAAGAGTGTGGAGTACGGGCTGAACGGAATGGCCTAGGAGAAGTGCGACGACACGGCAACAAGAGTTTAAATTTTTCTCGCGTATACTTGGACCCCTCTTCCACATATACGCACGCACGCATGTACGCCCGCACGCAGCACGCATGCACGCACAGAGGGATTAGACCTCCGTTTCGTCACATCCTGCATTTTTATTCACAGAAACGTTAATTTTTTATTAGCTTTTTCCACTCTAATCGCGATTCTGGTTCCGCTTTCTTGGATTTTTAAAAAGGCTATACGGCATCAAAAAGTTATAGACACTTCAACATAAATTTTAACACCTTTGGAGTATTTTATCTCAAAATTTGAGTGGACAGGAGGAGGGGTGGCTTTTTTGACAGAGAATGCCCCATATATCTAATTACATATAATAAATTGTAAAATTTATATTTTTTACAAAAAATGAAAAACTCTAAAATTTAGGAAAAAAGGAAAAAATCTATTTCTCATAAATTATCTTGTTAATAAATGATATTTAATAAATAGAGTATCAATATCACAGAAATTGCATTAAGGAAAAAGAAGTATAATATCATTTTAATTAAAAATATATGTTTTGCATTTAGAAATAAGATTTACCAAAGAATCTCTTGTAATCTTGGTTTTTTGTGTTAAATAATAAATTCGGTTGGGCACTGTAGTTAAAAAACTCAAAGGACATTATAAGTTGCTTATCTGCTTTTTTATTTAACGGCACTTTTTCTTCGCCTGGGAGATATATCTTGTTTAGTTGTGGTATGCAAAGATGATTTCCACAATCCGTAGAATTCGGTGGATTAAACTGAAATTAAAATTAATTATAACAAAAATTGTGTGTTGGCTCGTATTTAGAAATAAATTAGAAACAGAAGAAAATTAGAGGCTAATGAAACGAGCAAATAAGTGATGTTAAAATAAATAGGGTAAAGTAGCGTAATTTGGTCAACAACATTTTTTGAGCGCTGCAGTCGCACTAGACAATTGTCGTTTATGTCATTAAATTGTCATTGTATTAGCTCGACGAGTTTTAGAGTCGTTCAAAAAAAAGTTGACCAAATTACGCTATACTCCCCTATATAATCACATTATTTAAATAATTTGATAATATTAAATCGGGACGTTTTGACTTGACTAATTGTAAGTCTACTTTAGCCGCAAATATAAATATATTACATTATTTTAATCGGAAAACACGTAATATTTTAATAAATGAGAATTTATAGTATTTAATATTTAAAATAAGATTACATTATATTATCATCGTAATATTTTCTTTAAAAAATCCTTTGTAATTGATTCAATAGTTTAAAGACAATAAATTCGCCCGTATTATCAATCTTACGTTTTCCAATTAAAGTAATGTAATATATTTATTAAAATTTGTATTTGCGCCTAAAGCAGACTCAATCAAATCAAAACGTCTTTTTAATATTGTCAAATTAGATTATATTTTTTCATGGTTTTATCATGCAAGTCTCTTGTCAGTCAAAGATCTTTTCATATGAGTAATAATTCAATAAAAACAAGCGTAACACTTTTGCGAATAATTTTGTTATAAAGTATATTTACGTAATTTATTACAATAAAAAGTAAGAAAAACATTTTAAGTATATCAAAAATCCCATAAAAAATCTTTAAAAAAAAAAATGTACGCCAAATACATAAAAAAATGTCATTTACATTCTTTCTAAAACCAAGAACAATTTTTTTTATAATTTAAATATTCAATTATTTAAAAATTGATTGATCAAAAATAATCGTGAAATAAATAAAATTATAGCCAAATTATTAAACTAGCCTCATTATTTAAAAAAGACCTTAAAAAAGCTTGTGAAAAACATTCAAAAATTAAGAAAATGAAAAAGTGATAAACTGGATTATAATGAAGAAAAAACTTGGCGTGCCCGAGACGCATTAATTGCATTTCTGTATTAAACAATATGTAAATTTATATGAAAATGATTTATATATATTGTGACGTGACGTTTTTGACCGTCCGTCACAAGGGTCATAACGCCCGACCGAGGAAGCGCGGTTTTGGATCCTGCGTCCTCCCCGATTTAGGGAGGCGAGTGTATCCGCGCGCATTGCGTTTTTTGTTATATCTGTGCGCTTTATTTAATCTTTTCTCTCCTCACGAGCGTAACCTAGGTAGAGATCGGTGGCATCGCCGAACTGCGCAAGTAAGAATTCGTCTACACCAACCGGCGAGAAGGAGAGACACCGGCATTGGAACGACTGGCTCATCGCGGAAAAAACGGAGCACACAGGTCAGCCATAGTTCCTATGAACGTTATTGGTCTTGATATTCTCTGTTGCGAGCTCTTTACTGCCCCCGATTCCTTTCAGCAATCCGGGTGGAAAGCCTACTACATTGAGGCAATGGGCCCTCACGATCTGCCAAGGACCGGGTTGCCGACGGCGAAATGTACTGAGGCGAGGCGGACGAACAGAGTCGACGCCAAAAACGAAGAGGGTCGCGAGCTTAATTTGAAGTCCGCGCTACCGATCGCGAGCGAGCTGATCACGTGCGACGCCGCAATTCGCGGGCGTCGCGCTCGCAGGGCAAGGGCCAATCGGCGCGTAATCAGCCGATCCTGTGACACCCTGTTGCCTGCGTGCTGCCGGAAAGACCATCGAGCGACACTTGTGCTGTGGTCGCGCTTGGAAAAGGACGCAGGATCCCGCTAAGTTGTCAAGTGCCGGAACACAGTTTGGAGATCGTAGCTGCCGCTCTTGATGAGACGAACGATGAAGAATAATATTGTCAGCCGCCGGTTTCATTGTCGGGCGGATCGCGCTATTAAAGTTTTGTTGTCCGCGTTATCGTATGTCCGTGCGTAGAGTCCGTGTGCCGCGTCGTCCGCCCGGCATAAGGTTGCGCGAATTGGGTAGAGTAATTGCGCTCGCCTTACCACAGCCGGGTCATTTGTGCGTTAGTTAAGTGTTATTTCGTGTTTCTTTCCGTGTTAATGAATTGTGCGAATTATTGCGTGTTAGCGTGCCGAATGTCGGCAGGATTTCGGAATATTCGCGACGCCACGTGGCGTGTGATCCATCGAGGCGTGCGAGACGTACTCGCATACTGCGATCGGATATTCCGCGGATTGGAAATGGCGTAAGAACGAAAGCTCGTACACCGGTCAGTCTTCGTAACTGACGCGAGACGAATGGTTGCCGCCCTGTCACACGCGGCCTAAGGGGACATTTGTACCTCGCAGCACACGCAAATGTATTTGTTATCTGTTACAGAAAACTCTGAGTATTCGATCTCGCCCTTGTTCTTCCACACTCCTCCGCGCCCTACGAACCGCCCCTCTGCCGAATTTCGGGGCTGAGTTGCCGGCCTTCGGAATCGTTCCCGATCGTGGCAGTCAGGAGTTAGAGCGTCTTAATCTTCTCGTGTCGTTGCGTAACGAACATTTTACACGTATCCGAGATTACGATTCGGTGCAGTAATTCGAAGGGTGGCACGCCCGCTCGTACCTGGCGCCCAACTTTGCGTTCTCAGTTGCCGCGTAATTTCGAGTTACCGAGCGCACTGTTTTTCGCCTGACTGTAGCAACGGTTAACGATCGACCTTGCATTCCGGCTTGTAAAAAGACGGTTGCAATATATACACATATATGTTACGGGGGGCGAAGTCCGCATAGTGGGTAGAGTCGGCATTGCCCGGGCCGTGTCAAAATTGCACAACGTAATTGGACAAAGCTGCTAAAATGATTTTATTAGCAAACATGGCCCAGTTTTGTGTGGGCCGAGATCCCACATGGGTTTACAATTTTTTACGCAAAGCGAGGTCCATCTCATACTAAGAAATAGTGTGGATTAGGTAAGGTAAATTTGAAACCACGTGGAGCCCCCCCCCATAGGGGGGGCGGAACATACTGCCTCCAAGCATGTACTTTACAACGCGAAGCGAGATTCCACATGGGTTTATAACTTTTTACGCAAAGCGAGGTCCACCCTACATTAAGAGATGG